CAAATATATTATGTATACAATGAATTCCCCAAAAATGAGAAACATTAATAAAGATTAAATAAAAACGAACTTAATTTAACAATAAATAAAAACAAAACAAAAAAAGAACAACCAAACCACAAACCGTTTCGATATATCACCAAATAATTCTCATCTACAGCCGCAGCAGCAGTCACGACTCCAGCGAAGGGCTTCAGAGGGGGGCAATTAGAGAGAGAGAAGAGGGAGCAACCCAACATGCTGCGACTACTTTTGGTATATACCAGAAATACCAAAAAAAACTCCGTTGATTTTCAATTATTTTTATTTCACAATTTTTAGAGAAAACTTCATAAATAGGCCTCAACTAGCTTAACAATTTTCTCTCGCTCTTTTGAGACCTTTACCCAGCCCACAAAATATAAAATAATAATATAAATAAACAAATATACATACATATATAAAAAAATCTAATAAAAACCAAAGCTAAACCTCTTCAATGGCATACCCAGCTTTATAACTAATCCCCTTTTACCATCCACTTAACTAGTGCTAGTCTAAAATGTAAGAAAAGAAAAATAATAATAATAAAAAACCGTATATAAAAGAAAACACATTATTAACATGAAATGTTATACAGTTTTTGCTACAGATGCAGCAAAATCGCTAAATAATAGTCTAAAGGAAAAAATGTTATACTTAAATATATATATACATATATTATAAATATATTTTAAACAACTAATTACTTTTATTAAATGAATTTAACAAAAACTAATGCGAAAACTTGTTATATGTTTTTAAAATTCAGTAAATTCAGTTTACAAATTGTACAATTTTCTTTTCAAACTTCATCAAAATTTTTCAAAAATGTTCGATGTTGGTCAAATCCCTGGCAAACCATTAAACAAATTTCAGTTAAAGAAATTGTTAGCAATTACTTTCTGTTACGTAAATTAAAATTTAACTAATTGTTTACCAACTAGTTCTACTAACAAACAATTTACTAGTACATGTTTTCTTATAAATTAAACAAATGCAGAATATAAAAAAAAATAAAGATACTAGAAAAAGAACAAATATAAAAACAACTAACGCAATTAGTTAAGTAGTGGAGTAAAATGCTGCAAAAAATAAATAAATAAATAAATAGATTTAAAAAAATATTTAAAAAAAAAAAAAAAAAAAAAAAAAAAAAAAAAACACGAGTTGTGAGATTCACTCAATATATTTTTGATTTCTGTTCTCTCTCACCTGCAGCTGAATCCAAATCCGAAATCCCATAGGCTTTTTATACTCATTCACGAAAGGGAGTCGAGTATGTTGTTTTTATTTTACTTTTTTTTTTATATATATATAATACGCACAAAATTTAAATAAAAAACTATAATTTTTTCAAATAATTTTTGACCTGGGCAAAATGTGTTCCCAAAACCGCCGATAAATATTAGTAGTTTATATAGGGTAACAAAAATGCTATTTAAAAATATATATACAACTGCCAAGTAAATGTTGACCCTTTAGCGTGTGTAATTGAACATTCAACTACAGTTACAGTTATTGAAAAACAATTGTTTTATACTCATTCACGAAAGTGAAATGAGCATATTGGTTTTTCGATTTAAATTTTGTAACAAAAAGCAATGTTTTTAATTTGGGCACATGATAAAAAGAAATGTGGCTTGCGGATCCAAATATTTGACATAATTTGCACTAATTAGCATGCGGCATATATACTCGAACGAAGACACTTGATAAAGCATCTTTAACAAGTATATATATGTATATACTATATATGAATGCATATATATAAACTGCCATTTTGTACACCAAGTGTACTAAAAGAAAATCATGAAAAAATCAAATGAACAAAAAAAAAAAAAAAAAAAAAAAAAAAAAAAACTAATCAACACAAGGCAGCTGCAAATACATTTATTTTCAATTCTTTAAATAACGAATCAACAAAGAACAATTAAACAAAAATTAAAAATATTTAAAAACTTTAAGAACCGCCTGGAAATAATGTAATGTAATTCCTAAGAAGATTTCCAAATATTTACATTTTTTGTAATACATTATTTCAAAAATTATTACAATCTTAAATTTAAATGTTTATTGTTTAATGCTATTTACAGTTTTTTTTTCATATTTAAAAACAAAATGCAATCAATGCTTTGACTTTCCTTTAATCAATATTTTAAATTTTTTTTTTTTTTTTCATTAAATTTTTTTTATTTTTAGGATTTTGTACTTTAAACATTTTCTGAAAATCGGGAGGCTTTCAAATGTTTTCCACCTGTAAAATCTTTCGCAGCCTCTGAGCTACTGCCGCTGCTCCTTTGAAAGCTCAAATTCTATGTGTAATAAACTGAAGAGTAAATATAATATATTATATATAGTAATATTACAAAATCAACGAATTATCTAGCTAACAAATGTGGCAGTTGTTTATTTAAAAAAATATATATAAAGAACGTTTAGAAAATTTAAATCGTTTCAAAAATGAAATACCCAAACTGATTGCTAACAAATAAAAATGAAAAAAAAAAAAAAAAAAAATTATCTAAGTACTTTTATGTTATGTTAAAACACTGCCACGCCCACAATTTCAGAAACACATACATATACATATGTATATGTTATATTTGATCTATTTCAGCGTAAAGTGTGCAATTCATTTGGATCACAATTTGTCCGAGAACGCGATCTCTCACAACCAGTGCAACAAAAAAAAAAAAAAAAATAAATAAATAAATAAAATAATTCCGCAGCGCATAATACAAAAAATATTTTAGAAAAAAACTTAAAAGTAAATAGCTTGAGAAAGAAATTGATTTATATATTATTTGCAAGCCCATTTGGTAAAAGCAAAATAAAAGATGAACAAATTGATTATTTCGAAAAATATGATTATATAGAAATAAGCGATGTAACATCATGATGGTATACAAATTATGTATGCATAAAATATGTTATATAAATGGTAAAAAAAAGAATATATATAATACAGCATGTAAACTATATTTAAGTATGATAACAAAAAATTTGTCATTTAAAACAAAAGAAAAAAAATAAATTCATACATTTTCGGTTGCAAATATTTTTAGTTGTCGAATTACAGATTGCATTTTAATTAAATAGAATATATATAATAAAAATAAAAACAAAAAAGCATAAGAAACAATAAAAATAACAAAAATTCATATTTATTTCAAGTGTAACAAAAAGTAAAACCTAACAGAATTGCTTTAATTTAGATTTAAAAGTAAAAAATATATAAAAACCTTCATAAAAAATGGAAATAAAAATCATGGTAAAATATATATATAAATACATATATGTATGTGTAATAACATGAATGGAAAAACAAATACTGCTTTTGTATTGTTTAAGTTTAACTATAAATCAATGACAAAGTTTAAATATTAAATGAAAAAAAAAAAAAAAAAAAAAAACATAAAAGGAAATGGGAAAAAACATAAGATGTAATATGAAACAAAAATGAACTTACAACAAGAAAAGTAACTGAACATCAACAACAAAAAAAAAAAAAAACAACAACAGCAACAGAAAGCTTCATAAACATGTACGAGTAACAAAAAAAATGAGAAACTGTTTGAAAAATTTTACTGAATTCAATAAAAATATTATGTTGATATGGAATTAAGTAATTCCAAATAAACAAAAAAAAAAAAAAATTGGTGTGTTATCAAGTTCTGGCGTTCTGTTCAATTTAACTGCTACAAGAGAGCGCGAATGCAGAAAGATCGTGAGCCTGTCTTAGTGGCAAGAAATAGAGAGAGAAGAGAGGAGTTTGGAAGTGCTGGGGAGCGGTCACAGCTATTTAAAAAGACACAGAGAATGAGAGTTTGTAAACAGAAAAGCGAAAGTATTTACAGAAGTAAATACATATGTTTATGTACATATGTATGTACTAAATGTATCTAATCCCACATTCTTGTTTATTTTATTCGCTTTAAACATTTTATTATACAAAATAAGTTTATATTTTATTAATTTCCATTTCTTATAATTTGTATCTAAATATTTTTTAAATTTCCTTATATGTATACATACAAGTATGAACATATGTACATATGTATGTATATTAGTGAGTGCATACATACATACATAAATATTTATGCATGCTCATATCGAAATTGATTTTTTCATATGTACATACATACATGCATAGGTCAATACATACATATGTAAATAGAAGCAGATAAATAATAAAAATGAGGACACACTGAAACTTGCTCTGCTGCTCAGAAGCACTGACAACTTCATGCATTTTTACGCAAGAGTTATTCCAATCAGAATATTTTAGTTTGTGCTTATTTAAGAACTGGGTATTAAGTTGATTCGCCATGATGAAATAAAAAAATTCATACCTTTTTAATTAGCATAATGTCCATGTATCATCACTAACCATATATGTATGTATGGTATCATTCTGCAACGTTTTACTGGGCTATTTATTGTACACATGTTGCAACACATGTTGCTGCAGTGAAATGTTGCTACAGCTGTGGAGCCGCATGCCAGTATATCGATATGTTAACATTCGACTTTATATTGTGTTTTTATTTTAACTCGGTAATTTATTAATAATTGCCAAATTAAATTCAGCACTCTAAAATAAAACTTTTTTAAGCTTCTTTACAAAAATATGCTCCTATTTCGAGCTGCTCCACAATAATCGAGTATCATTATTTTCAACTTGTCGACCGACCACCACAGTTTACCGAAAAGCCTTTTAATAAACGCGCGCTTCACATGCATTAATATAAATTATGTCCAAATAAAACTTGCTTACTATAAATTTTATTAATTTTGACAGTCATTTATTTTTCACTATGCTGTATTTAACACAAAATTAAGACTGACCATTAACTAAAGTGCGCTGACGCAGCGGCTAAGTATGTGAACTAAAACCAGTTCATTTCTGCTGTTCATATGTTCCAATATCGAACTATCGAGAATAGCGTGTAATCGAAATAAGTAGATTAATGAACAGAACAAACAGGAACTAGAACAAAAATATTTCTAGACCGCGTCACTTTTTACTTTTTTAAATTGTCGTAAAAACGTTAATTGCGTATAAATAAATCTCTATAATTGAACGAAAAGCTACTAACTATTAACTGAGCAATAGTAATATCAGTGTGTGATCATAAAAAACTAAAGGAGATTGAATAGGCAGAGGATTGCGAATTTAGACGTCAAGAAAAGGACGCCGACGCTAAATACAAATTAAATTCCAGCACCCCTTCCAAATTCCAGCAGATCATAAAGATGAGCAAAGATATTTATTACTCGGATAAATACTATGATGAAAAGTTCGAGTACAGGTGAGTATCCCTATAATTTGCAACCGTAATATATAAAAATATATACATATATATGTATATATGTATGTGTTTGTACGTATGTATTAAACTACCTTTTACGCAGACATGTGGTTTTGCCGAAAGACCTTGTGAAGCTGGTACCCAAAACGCATTTGATGACAGAAACCGAATGGAGATCAATTGGAGTACAGCAATCACGCGGTTGGATACACTATATGATACATAAGCCGGAGCCGCATATTTTGCTATTTCGGCGTCCCAAAACGGAGGAGTAAACCCGTACAAAGGCACTTTGAAAACTAACTCCACACACACTCACAAACATTCACATGCATACAATACATCTACTATATAATATAAGCATACATGGAAGCGTTACAGCTGACACGATAGTGCAGTAGCGGCAGCAGCTGCGACTGCGCAAAAGGTGGTGCTGCGTGCAACTGTTGCAGGGACGGCGGTGGCGGCAACAACAACAACAAAAACCCACGCATACAAATACACACTCGTACACTTTACTCATTTCTTTACAATATTCATGCACACGAACACAGTCACGCTCACGCACACAACCCGGTTTCATCCTTACGTACAACAAGTATTAGATTGCTTTGAGATGCTCTATGCATTTTTCTTTTCAAATTAGAGTTGCCATATTGTATTTTTTGCCATATATTTAAAAAAAATTTTATTCATGCATTCATTCTATGCTTATTAGCTATAGCACAGTGGGCTTTTTTATTGTAAACATGCTAACTTCTCGCGCAACGCAAATAGCAACAAAAACAAAAATAAATAAAATGAAAAGCGTTATGAAAATTGCCTGCACATTTTCATGTAATATTAAATAAAATATGATTTGTGATCTTGAAAAATTTTTATCAATACCTTATAATACGTTTAAACATAATATAAAGTTATAAATAAAAAAAAAAAAGTAAAAAAAAAACAAAACAAAAAAAACAAATAAATACGTTTGTAAAATACTTTTAGCATTGATTGCCTAAAGTTTTTCAATACACCCAATTAACACGCTCTTGTTTTTATCAATTTCGTAATATAAATATTTATTTAATGGTCCGGCTTATTGTGAATACAGTTATTTTAGGACTTCTTCTTCAACCAGGATTGGAGGAATTCGAGCGGAACATTAACAACGCAACAAATCAGGATTTTCTTTAAAATATAAATGATAATATGATTAATTTCCTGATAAATAATAATAATCTAACGACCTTCAAAATTATAAATATGAAATATAGACATTTCACTAAGCACTAATTATGATTGTTTATTCTTATGAATGATATACCAGAAATATTAGCTATATAATTAAAAAATATCAGACGTGTATATGTTTTGGAGCACTGGCTTTGTTTTGTTTGTAATACTCTAAATTGCTAAATTGTACATTTTCCATGTCGTCTTGAATATGCACAATATGAAAAATATATATCTGTAGACTTCTATATTTATAATCCAAATTTTTTGCTAATTCGGATTTTATACAGTTTTTAAATACATATTTGCTAACCGTGAACGAGTACTACACAGCTGGTTTCAAAATTCATGCAAATACTCGTTTCATTTACTAGGCATATATAAAGCTATATGTATATAGCATATGCGTATATGGTATCGTATTGCGTATAAAGTGATATTTTCCACTTTCAAAAATGAAGATCGACAGTTCCGGTAAAAATGCTTTGGCACGTTTTTTTCGCCCATACTCGTGCCCATTGCTATGTGAGAAAGAGCATACCAGCCCAGCCACCAATATATACATATGCATATATTTCTATAGACAAGGGTAGCTCGATGGATGGTTATGGAATTCACCTCACTGAAGGGAAGGGAAGGAATAACGACGAAACGCTGTCATTTACTTTTGCCGTTGGGCCCTCGCACTTATACGTAGTTATAAAATAGCGACAAAAAGCCCAATATTATTATCATTTTTTTTTTTTTTTTTATTTATATATATGTATGTGTAGCTTATATTTATATACATATATTCCCACCAGCGTTTGGTGTCGCCAACGGGCAGCAGAACTAGCCCCCAAGGCAAATCGAATTGAAACAGATCAAAGGCAGCTATGGCAATGCAACACGCTGATTTTGATTACCATTTGTTGTGCGCTGGCAAAAGGGAAGCCGGAAATCCCAAATTATAATACATATATACCAAATATATGCATACATACTGGAAAGTTGCTTGCTATAGAAGGGAATAGCTTAAGAACTTAGCTTAAGCAATTTCTTACGAATTGAAGAATTAGTGCATTAGTTTGATTCGGACTGCTGTTTTTTTGTATTCCTGATCTAATGGGCTTTGGAATTTTTTTTACATCCACACATTTAATCATAATTCATTAAATAAGATTAAAATCTGTTTATCAGTGCCAAATCAAGAATTATTTTATTTTTAACTAGACAAATTCTATTTAGCTTTATATATATCCTGGCCAAACATTTTTGTCTTTTTTTATGCTCTTCGAGGTCGTTACAAATCAGAAATTAATTAGCAGATATCCTGTAATCAAGTTAACAAAATTTTTAATTGAATCAAAAAAACCCAAGACCTTTCAAACTAACTCAGTTATATATGTATATATATATATATATTTTTTTTTTCAAGTTTAAGTTTGCTTAAGCACTTTGAAGAGTATATTAGTTTTGTCTAATTTTTTAACGTTCTTGTGAAAGCTAAAAAAATTAAAATTGTTATACCTTGTACCCAAAGAGAAAAAAATATATTGGTTTATGCAATGTTTTTGAACCCAATAAAAAATGCTATGGCCAATATATCTTCGCCCGCTGGACGCGTAGTAAAACGTAAAAGATTATATCTCCCCAGAGTTTTGACGCTGGCGCCCTCTTTGGGGACATGATATTTTTCGTGTACTTTGTGTAGAAAAAAGAGAAATATCAGAAATGTGTGGAGCAAAGACTCAAGCCCACATGGATAATAATTGTACAGCTTGGCTCAAAAATCACGACAATGTTAAAGAGAATTGGGAAACTGGGCAAAAAGACAGCGGCAATTTAAGATATGCAAATATTAGACAAAAAAAAAAAGTGCATGACATATAAATAGTAATTAACGAACTATAAAAATGGATATGTTTTAAAATCATTTGAAATTTAAAAATTATTATTGTATTAATAAATCTGATTTTGAACAAGTATTGTACAGTCATGAATAACTAGTTTCACAAGATTCATTAAGAGATTCATATGTTTTATACTGTGCTTTGATGCCCAAATATATCTCAAAATGTTTAAAAACGTTTAATTAATTCTCTTAACTCCCACAACTAAAATTTTTTTACGATTAGCTAGTTTAAGTTCCAAAAGGCTTAAAGCAATTTTCGTTTGACTTGTTTGGTCTTAGTGCTGTAGACAATAGCAGGTTGATCAGAGCAACTTTTCACAATACGAAAGCTAATGAAAAGAGTGTGCAAGGAAGTGGGCGCTTTAAATGCCGACACTGAACTACTTTGGACGACAGGTGGGAGCAGCTGTGGAAAAGCAGCTCCCATTTATCCCCCCCCCCTCTCCCACACTCTCTCTTTCTATCTTTCAATCTGTACGTCTCTGTCTCTCTCCAGATATATGTACATATATAAATTGTTGATAATGAATTCCCTTTCAAATTGGCCAAAGCCAAAAGAAAGCGAATCTATGCAGAGCGCTGTTCTGGGCTCAGAACAAGTCAGCTAATTAAGAGATACTGCGATGCTGCGACGCGTCAACAGCGACAACGCGTCGTATGAGTTACGTGCGCGCTGCTTGCAATTGCAATTGATAAGCAGCGCTGCGTTGGCAATGGCGACGGCGACGCTAGTGAGCGAGCGCATATTTTGATGAATGAAAATAATCCAACACTCACATATATACACACACACACACTCATATAGCTACTCTGCTGACGCTGGCAGCGCAGTTGCGCATAAATTTGCGCGCTCGTTGGCTACGTTTCGTATTTGATTTTGATGTAGTTTTTAGTACTATTTTATAATCAGACAGGCCAAGTTGAGTCGTGTCTTTTGGCTCTCAGAACAGTGCCAGTCAGAGTCAGTGAGCATCTATGAGTGGACCTCAACTCATCTGTGATCTGTGATCTGCGCATGAGTCTCCTCTGTGTTCAGTCGTGCCAACGTCGCGTGCTCGACAGCAACAACACTAAATAAATACTTAAAGCGCGCTCTTCATATATACAACATATAAATATATATATACAACTATATATATATATATATATAAATTGATATTACTCGTGTGCTCACAATCAACTGAATTTAACCAAAAAGGTTTCAAATTTATGCAAATTTCATGCATATTTCACACTGGCTGCAGTATAATTCGATGCACTAATTTGTAAGTGTAATAAAATTAAAAATAAACAAATAAAAAATTGAAAAAACAATAAACATTTTCTTGGTTAAAAATGGAAAATGTTACTCTATTGAAAATTAACAACAATTTGCAAATTTATGTGGCTTTGTGTACTGTGTAGAATGAACAGAATTCTTTACGATCTATTTCACTGATAATGGTTTTTTATTTCCTATTCATCATCAAACTGCTAAACTGTTGTTTCTTTTTCTTTAAATTTTTATTTGTTTCCAAGCCGGGTAAGTTTTCTGAGTGAGAATGCCCTTTGGGCATGAAAAATGAATACGAATCAATTTCCAAAATATATGAAAATTATATACTTATAAGAATAAAGTTAAAAGTTAAAATATTAAACATAAATATATAGTATTTAAATAAATATAATTATTATATATATAATTATTATTATTTTATTATTCTGATTTTATACAACTTTTAATTATTTATTAAGCTATGCTAGAGTGACAATATAACATTTTGTATATATGTAAATACATATGCTATAATAGAATGCCTTGACTATTTAGCTTTTTTTTTCATAGAGTAAATTGCCGACAACTTTTCAATTACTGCACTATCTTAACTGATACATATATTATACCATTCAATCAAAACTAAGGAAATACAGCTATAATATAAAGCTAATATTTTGCATACTGTTTGAACTGTGACCCGTGTGTTCCATAGTCCAACGCATCTATTAATTTCTTAATGAATCGATTTTCGCTTACTAATCTAAGAGAGAGAGAGATTTTGAAGCTGATAAACGTTCACAGCATCTGTTAGGTGGGGAGGGAGGTGTGTTGTGGTGTCATAGGGCCAAGGCCCATTTACCCCTCGTTCGCGCTGTTAAGGGTAGGTCGCACTTCAACAAGTATCTACCACACAAATTTTTATTTTTTTATTTCTTTATTTTTATTTATTTTTTTGTTTTTTTGTTTTGCTTTGTCTTCACTTGATATTATTTTATTTTCCTTTACTTTGTTTTGGTCGTATTTTTAGCTTGTTTTTACTATTTTCGTTGCAAATTTCATGTCATGTTTAAAAATAGTCGTCACCCCGCACGACGAGACCCTCATGTAAATTGCAGCAATGTCAATGTTTTCTTTTCTTTTTCGGTAATTATTATTATTTTTATTTTTAAAAAAAAAAGATAAAAAATTATTTAGGAATTATCAAAGAATTTAAGCTATAGCAAAAAAAACTTTTTCATAAGATTCATAAGAATGTATTTATGTAAACGCAGGTCTTGGTAACTGAAATATATAATAAATAAATTAATTTAGAATGTATTTATTTAAACGCTGGTCTTGATAACTGAAATATATAATAAATAAATTTATTTAATTGTTCGATTATTTTCTTTTATGATTAGAAAATTATATTATGATTTTTATTATTATTATTATTTATTTTTTTTTTTTTTTATTAAAGAAAGTATGTATTTTTTATTTTAGCTCAAATTCTTTTTCCTAATATAATGTAATATCTTGGAAATGTTCCGTATGTAAGATAGAATTATTAAAATTATTTGGCAATATATTAAAACCTATTTGACAATAATTAAGGAAATCTGAAAATTTGATTTTTTGATCACTGACCTAACTACAATTAATAATAACAACATAAAAA